CCATGGGGCGCGGCCAAGGGGTCATGGGGCATGTCTGGAAAGCAGCCCATGACAGTACTAGTGCTAAATAATTATTCATGAACTTAGAAAACATAAAGGGAAAAGATATACCACGGTTAGGGGTGGCAAAATAGTTCAAAGAAAATAGTTAACCACCCATATTATCCACTAAAAAATGGGTTGGATAATGAACTTTTTAAAAACGGATCAAATATGGATAAGAAACATATTATCCATTTAGAAAATAGATAACCCATGAGTAACCAATGGATAACCAATGAGTTTAACTTTTACATTTGTAAAGCCTCAAATTGGTGGTTTCTCAAGTTAGGGAAACTAAGAATTCTCCCAAAAAAGATCATATACAAGAAGTCATGGATAATATGGGTAACACATATTATCCGACGGTTAACCCGTTTTTATCCGTATTAAATATGGGTCGGGTCGGATAATTGATCCGTTTTTTCATTACTCGTTTTCGACCCGAACCATATCCGACCCGGCCCGCATGTTTGCCACTCCTAACCACATTAGAGCACTAAATACAGGAGATACCAATCTATCTTGAATTGAAGAGGGAAAAAAATTGAGTGAAAAGTGAATTGAAAGAGGAAAAAATAATTGACCGAAAAGAAAGAGGTGTTGACGGGTCTCGAATCCTGGTCAAGTGGAGACAAATGCAGCATATTAACCAGTGAAGCCAGTCCATCTTTTAGTATTCTGGGGGCACATTAAATTTATTTAGCTTGTCATATCTATTACTATTATATTACTATTATATAAGCAAAGAGCTGATGGTCAACATACCTGCATCATCACAAAGGCATTTTTGTCATTTCATAATGTTTCACCGTATTCCATATGTCATTCCATATTCCATATTGAAAATTTGTCGGGCACAACATATAATAATGTGGGGTCCATTAAAATTCTCATCACATATAGGTATTAATTTGTACTTTATTGTCTATTTGATATCCATGTGGCTAAAGCTACTTTAATGACTATTGAGTGTAATTTTATAATTATTTAACTTAAGAGATTGTTTGATTTAGTTTAAGTTCAGTATATGTAACTTAACTTGAAATTTTATGTTGAGATCTTACATAAAATTTGTAAAAACCTTTTCTTGGTTTGGACATTTCTATGTGATTAGCTTTTTAAATGATCATTATTTTAATTACATAAAATATAAATTATTGCATAGAGAGTAATCCACAACTTATGAAATAAAATTATAACCTTGTTATAGATGCCAACTATATTATGAAATGGTAGTTTACTATAATGCTCAAGAATATTGCAGTTGCTTACAAATAAGAATTAATTAGTTTTACAAATTTTGGAAAAAATTGAGGTACAGTTATATCACTATTTAGTTTCCAATAATATCGTTTTACTCTCTAACCCATATTTAAGGCATATGAGACAAAGAAATTACTAATAAGGATATTTTTTTAAAAATTAGTTCTTCGGCTTGAGAAATTTTATTATTATATTTTAATATTTTAAATTAAATTACTTTTAAAAATTTATAATACATAAAAAATGAAGTTCGATACTTCAGAAATAAGGACATATATAATTTTATTTTTCACGCATATACTTTTTCTAGACCAATAAGATATGATAATTAGTGTTTCAGGAAATTTCAGTAACATATTGCTTAATATTATACTTAAAGCCAGATTACCATAACTAAAATATAAAAAACGGGAACTCGGGTAACGTAGAGGGTAAAAGTTTTATGTAGCACCCAATTTTGCACCGCCCATTGAATTTGTACTCATTTTTTAAATTTGTTTTAACTAATTCCCAATTTTTGGATAACTTCAAATATATAAACTTTTCTCTTCTTCTTTATTGTTGTTTTCTTCTTCTTTGTGCTTAAAGTTTCTTCTTCTTCTTCTTTTTAATTGCAAAGTGAGTTTGTTAAATTTATTGTTGTTGTTGACAATTTGATGATTAGGATTTGTTCTTTATGATATTTGAAAGTGATTTCAAATTTAAGCTCATTTGGAGTAGATTTTGGCATTGAATCGTGTACTGGATTATTGAAAATCGAAGAACAAATTTATGCTTAGAACTTAAGATTCGATATCTGAATTTGCATTCAATAGATTGACGTACTTAAGATTCAAGTTAGTGAAGTTGCATTTGAAAGATAGAAGTACTTCAAATTTGATTTCTGAAGTTGCATTGAAGAGATCGAACCTCTTAAAATTCGAATTTCTGAAGTTGCATTTAAGAGATTGAACTACTTCGGATTTGAGCGGGTATTCTTTGAAATTTTTTGTGCAATGCAGGTATAACTTCAACGATGACCCCAAAAGTGGGTAGATATGAAAATGTCGCGTAGGGGACTCTGGGAGGATTGCTCATACAATCAAACCCCTCTATAACAATCTCATTTGTTTCGATATTTTTGTTATTGAGTACATATATTATAACATAACATCGATTATAACATAAAAATCGACTCAACAAAAATTTAGTTTTTATAGCGAATGACTGTTATATAAGTATACTGTTATAGAGATATCGGATAGTATATAAATAGCCATTGGGCCCGTGCTAAGCCCGGGCATAACATCACTAGTATACAAATATATATACATGGTTTTTGCTTAGTCTACTGTCTATGTAGGTCCGCCCCTGGGCTGAAATATATGGCGGAAAACAAAATTAGAAGCTCTTGCCAAAATTTCCTAAAAGAAGCTCGGTCAAATTCTTTCTCTTGTATGCGGTTCTCAAACTCTAGCGCTTTCTTCATCTTCTTAGATATTTCCTTTGTCTTGTGTGCATCCCGTCTTTTACAATCTGAAATCCCGGAACTTTTAAGGTGTTATGCCGCCTTCTTTGACTTCTCCGCTTCCAAGCCTCTTTTATTTTTCTTGATATAAGCTGGCACAGGTTCCAATTTGTCATGTTCAGCAATGCCAAGTCCAGTTCCTTCTCTCCCGCCAAGCTTTTTCAACAACTTAAAACCAAGGTTCTAGGACTGAATAGGTTAAAGAAGCACACATTGTGGCATAATTCCCAAATCGGCGGATTCCTATTCTACTCCCGATCTATTATCTCTTAATTCACTTTCCTATTTCTCGCTCCTACAAGCAGAAGCTAGAATTGGAAAAAATATATAACCCAAAAATTCCTTCTAAACAGCAATAGATGGAAGAAATCTGAGTCACCAACTCTACGATAACTACCTCCTTCAAATTGATCTAAAGTGAAAAGATAGAAACATAAAATAGTTGCAACACAAAGATCATATCAACATAAAGACAAGAAGAAGCCAAAATGAAAGTACTTCAGGTTAGAACCAATACTTATACTCTAAATTAAGTAGTGAGAAGGAATAACATGAGCTTCTTATCTTGTAAGTAAAATTTTCAATTTAAATGTGAGTTTATGAACTCATTATATGAATTAGAGATAAAAAAAAAAAATTAACCATAATGCGCTTCTCTATGAAATAGTTCAACAAATTTAGAGGCTATGGTTGTCTCCAACTTATTACAATCAATTATTTGTTATTAAATAATATTTAATTTTTATAAGCACAGTAAAAATGAAATGACTGCACAAAAAGAATTTGCTTCGAGGTTATGGAAAACATTACTTAATTATTTTTTTTTTATATCTGTCTATGGGAGACGAGTTACTTTTGTTATATTTGAAGTTTATAAATGACTCTAGATTTTATGATTTTGCGACTAATATGTTTGAGATTTTCAGCTCCTATAATTCTCATTTTTAATATCTTTTGTTGTTTCCATCCATCCTTGACTCTAAATCAATTATATGTATCAAATATAAAATTTGTTGTAGGGAAGAGTCCTGTCTCATGAATTTAGACAAAGTAGACTTCATTTTGACCTTTCTACTATTAATTAATAAAAATTACTACTCAAATTTTTAAAAATGAAGGGAGGTACTCAAATTACTATTACGTTTCATCACTAATTAAGAACTTCAAGCTTTAAGAACTATGATATTTAATTAAGAAACGGAGAAATTCCGCCAAGAGTAGGGGACATGTCGTTCAATTTTTTGTTCAAATTATGTACAAATAGATTGATCTAATCCCCCATTTGTTAACAGACATTAGTTAAACGATAATGCTCAGCAGAGACAAATGTTTGGAGACCTCCTTTCCTTTTACTGTTTCAGGTCACAATTTCTCTACTCTTCTACCTCAACTCTTTTCTTTGTAAATTACCTGGTTGATTCTCTAGGGTTCTCCAAAGAAGAAGCAACCTCTACACATTCCAAGTTATCTTCACGGAAAACCACCAGAGATCCCGATTTAGTCCTCAATTTCTTGAAACAAACCGGTTTTGACAACTCCCAGATCAAAACGATGGTCTCTAGAGCACCCAAATTGCTATTCTCTGATGTTTTTAAAACCCAAATTCCAGTGCCTTGTGGACCTCGGGCTATCCGGGTCAGACCTGGTTAATGTAATTGCTAAAAATACAAAAATTATGGTAATAAGTTTAGATACTCATATGAGACCTACCATTGATTGTCTTAGGAGAACTTTGGCCACTACGAAAATGTAGTTACGGCTATAAAGAGAAGTCCTCGGTTGCTTTCTTTTGGTGCCCATCATATTATGGATACTAATGTATTGTTGTTGTAAAACTGTGGTATTTCTGATTCGAGAATTAAAAAATTTGTGCTTCAAAATCCTTCTCGTGTTACACAAAATCCTGATCGTGTTAAGTATTTCTTGCATAGAGTGGAGAAGGATTTTCGAGTCCCACTTGGCTCCCCTAGTTTTCTTTATGCATTTCATGTTTTATCTGCGCAAAAAAAGTCTACATTGGATAGGAAGATTGGAATGTTCAAGAGTTTTGGATGGTCTGATGATGAAATACTCGAGTTATTCAGGAAGCTACCGCTTTGTATTGCTCTCTCAGAGGTTAGAATTGAGAAAGCATTGAATCTTTACATGAAGGAGCTCAGTTTTGAACCTGCTTACTTGGCTTCTCGTCCTGCATTTTTGGCCTATAGTCTGGAGAAAAGGGTGATACCTCGGATGGAAGTCTTGAAAATTTTGGACGAAAAGAAGCTTGAGAGGAGAAAGGTGAATCTCTATTATGTAATGACCATAACAGAGTCAAAGTTCATAGAGTATTTTGTGCTGCCCTACAAGGATCAGATACCTGATCTGTATGAATCGCACAAAAAAACTGCGGCTCCTTAGTAGATTTGGTTTACTTTTGGCACTAAGGGTGCTGAGATCTTTCTAAAATTATCAGTTGTAGTTCAATATTTTTTTTGCTTTTCCTTTTTCAGTTTGTATTCTAAAAAACACAGTCGGTGTTGCCAAAATTCATTCATGGAATTGGAGCATAGCTTACTGAAAGACCTTCCTCATATTTACAAGTTTCAACTGCTCTTAGCTATATGCAAATTCAACCTTGCCATTTGAAGCTTTTCGGATTCAACAGATCTTGATAACTGATTCCCTTTGGCAGTTACCACCAAGTTTGTTCCAGAAGACATTGGCATTGGTTATTTATATGATATTAAGGGTCTGATTTTCTCTCTGATGGATGACAAAAGGATGTATGATTTCCCATTGGGAAGTTCTTCTATCTTGTCTGAGTTTGATCCTATAACATTTTGCGCGAGTTGTTTACTAATCTATCCATTTTAAAGGAACTGGATTGCAGGTTAGCTTCATAAGCCTTACCTTTACCATTGATTAACATGTAAAGAACTTTTATTGTATCTTACTGAAACTTTAATGAACGGAGCTTGGCGCAATGGTAAAAGTTGTCGGCTTATGACCAGGAGTTATGGGTTTAAGTTGCGGAAACCGCCTGTCAAAAATGCAAGGAAAGGTTGTGTACATAAGACCCAATGTGGTCTGCTCCTTTTCCGGATCTTGCGCATGGCGGTAGCTTAGTGCACCGAGCTACCTTTACCTTAGAGTTTTAGTCTTTGTCTTATCTATAATGTTAAGTTAACCATTCTTTTTCATGTCATACTTTCTAGTCCTTGAAATGATTTTTTGAATAGTAGTGTCAGGACAAGCTTACACGAACTTAGACTATTTCTTTAGGTACTAGTTACCGGATAGCAAATGGAAGAAATTACCTAGCATTTTTGCTCTCTCATTCTTTCCTTTTTCTTTTTGTGTTTTTCTTGATATCTATCGTATTTTAGTAATTGGAATTTGCAATTTCACTTCCTAAAGCAAAGTGCACTTCTTTGGGTTTTCTGGTTTTGGTGTAAGGACATTGTTCAAGGAAACCACCATATTGTTAGTTTCTATCTGAGATTAAAGTTTGTAAAAGTGTAGGTTCATAGTATCCGCGGAGTAGGGATATATTACATACAAGGTGTTCAATTTTCTTCAGTTGACATTTGTAAACCTTGTGCTTCATGGTTTTGTTAAACACCACAATCATGATACAAATTAATTTGTCAAGCATTTGACAAAAATTAAAGTTATTGTATCCTCATTTAAGACACAACTAGTGGTCGTACCCGCGTGATGCGCGATAAATATTAAAAAAGTTTTAATTAAATTAAATTATGATCGGGCTTGTTTGATCCTATTAGTAATTTGAATTGGTACTTTTTTATTTTTTTAATTTCGTTTTTTATTTTAAAATTATTTTAAAACTCCAACTCGAAAGTTGAAACTACTCCCCGGTTTGAATGGGTAGTTTTTCTTCTTTTTATCTTTTTTTTTTTAAAAAAATAATTTTAAAACTCCAACTTGAAACTACTCCCTCGCAATTTGAAAGGGTATTTATTTTTATATATATTTATATTTTCATTTTTTTATTACAACTAATTATAAGATATCTATATTTACTACTGCAACTAATTGATTTTTTATTATTTTTATTTTTTATAGATATTTAAATTCAAAAATAATAACTAATTATGCCATGTACACTTTTTTGTAGGCTATCACTTGGATTATGGAGAGAGTTTTGTCCTCTCCTTTTAATAATATATAGATAAATATAGATATAGATTATTTTTTATATATATTTATATTTTCGCTTTTTTACTATAACTAATTATCTATATTATATTAAAATCATGAACCCCTAAACTAAAAAGTTAAATTATCAAAATAACCTCTTAAAATTTAAATACTCTATTTATTTAAAAAAATCAATTAAATACTAATAATTATATTTAAATAGAAAGAAGGAGAAAATTATTCTGAAGGGTTGTGCCTCTTAGAATGTTTAAATTAGTAATGAATAAAGCTGGCCTGCACAAATAGCTACCTTTTCGTATGTTGTATCTATATAAATATATAAAGTTGGGAATTGGCCAGCTGATGTGGCATTTTTATATGGCCAACTTTCATATTTATCTTTTTTTTTAGATTTTTGAGATTTTTTCCTAATTTTAATACAAAAAATTTATTTACTATCTAGAACTAATAACGAAACTGATGAGGCTTATGAATGAGGAGATTTCAGTTATGGAATATACAAAAGTGTAATTACTACTTTCTTTCAGCTATGGAATACAAAAAAGAGAGAAATTAAGGCAATGTCCTTGAGCAGAATTCATATTTTTCTTTTCTTAGAATTTTTTGACTTTTTGCCACTATTTTTTTAATTAAGTGCCGTTTAAAAATGGAATCAAACAACGGTTACGTAGGAACAGTCACAACCTTTAAAGAAATATTCCATGAATTGATTTCCTTCTTTAAATAATATCATCAAAGAGAGAATGACAACATAATTGTAACATCCATCGACTCCACACACCCATTTACTTAATTCTTTAACCTCTCCACCCGATCACCTCTCTGAATATGCTATTTAACTACAACCCCATGCAATCCTTTCCCATTGTTTTCAGAAGTTACCTTTATTGCATAATCTTCCTCATTTCTGCCACTTTTGTTACCATAGTAACCTCCCTCTCTTCCAACCATAAAGGNACATCTCCTTTTTCTCTTCATCAGTAGATGGACCCTAACTAATACTCAATTTGAAGTGTTTAGCAGGAGGAGTACTAACCACTTTTGCATATATCATATTGAACCTCTTGAGTACCTTCTCAATGTATTGCTTTTGAGACAGAAATAACTTATTTCTATCTCTGTGTCGGTGGATTTGAATGCCCAAGATTTTCTTTGCTGGCCCCAAGTCCTTCATCGCAAACGATTTACTCAACTACTTCTTAAGGACT